CCATATCCAATTTTCACTGGAGCATCTCTTTTAAGAAGGTATGTAAACATTCAACGGTAAGAACATGACTGAAAAATAAAGTTTTTATTATGTGTGGGTAAAATTTAGAAACTTTGGCTAAATATAAAAAAAAACAAAAATAACCCCATCAGTATCAGTATGCTTTTGTTACGTGTTCTCATTATCTCTTTCTGCTCTGGAAAGATGTGTCAAAAAGAGAAACTCAAGTCAATACGGATATACTCCATATTATTATTATTATACAGGATTTATATAGCGCCAACAGTTTGCTCAGTGCTTTACAATATAAAGGAAGACAATACAGCAACAATACAGTTCAATACAAGAGGGATAGGAGGGCCCTGCTCCTTGGAGCTTACAATCTAGGAGATGGTAGGAATTGTAGGCTTGATCAATGCAACTGATTTGCCTATAAACATCTGGGTCACAGAGGGCTCTTATAGAGGTAAATAAGTGGATAATGTGGGCTTTCAGAGGGTTGAAAAACACTAGTTATCATAAATAGAGATATCCCAACTTTTACGAGAGTTCGCACCAATCATGGTCTTCTGAACACCATAAGCACCCTCTTGCCGAATTAGAGAGAAATTTTAAAAAGCAGCAATGTAAATGAATTGGCAGATCTCTCTGCTTTACATTCTCAATGACTATTTTTGGAGACATAAGGAGTGCCAACAAATAGTTCTCAGAGTTCAAAAGTATTGATATAATACCACAAGTGACCAAAATAAATTAGTCCTTGTGCTTCTCTGCCACTAACACATGCATTCCAACAATGAACATTGTCCTGGCTTTGATCGATGTGTCTAAGATCATTACTCTGAGTCCATTAGACACAACATTTAAGCACTAAAGCCTGGATGAGTGGTAATTATTTGGGCCCCAAAACACATTGGTTGTTTTTTGTTTTCATTTTAATCACTTGTAGAAGTGATTGTGGAATAATTATACACATTATTACATTTTGGGTGACCTCTGCCGCTCAAGAGGAGCTGCCGAGAGCTGCCAAACCTAAACCATTGGACTGAGCTAAAAATCTTTTATTTGAGTGGGTTGGAGGTTATTGTCCAACGCTTCCCCCCTACCCCTTCTTGGACTTCAATCTCAATGAGACCAAAATGTGGCCACTGTTTTATAGAGAGCTGCCAAACCTAAGCCATCAGGTTAAGGTCAAGACTTTTGTTTGAGTTGGTCAAAGACTTGCCTCTACCTCTCCTTGGACTTCCATCTCAATTAGACTGCCTGTCTAAAACAAGTCCTAATTAGAAAAGAAATAGACTCACCACAACAGGATACGGTCTATATAATGTCAACATTTACCAAGAGCAAGAATTTTACCTCCAAAAGCTTTTTCCATGCCAAAAGACGAAAAAGAGTTTAACTTAACTTTTAAAAATAGCCATAAGCTTTTACAGCATTCACAATGCTATGACTTCACACTATGCTATGTAATTAGAAGCCATAAAAAGAACTTATTTCTGTAGGGCTTCCAAACACTTAAACCACATGCTGTTAGCTGCTTTGTGTACGTATGGTTGATATTTCAGTTTCCAGGCTCAATAAAACCGCTACATGACAAAAGACAGCTATGCTTCATATTTCGTAAGACAAAAATAATAAAAATATAAATAAAAAAGTAAGAGACTAATGTTTTGAATGAAATGGCAATTCTTTTTCTGATTAATTTGCCACAAATGAAATTGGAATTTAAAAAAGCAATCATAATCCCCCTCACTTTCAATGCATTTTTGAGGTGGTACATCCATTACCCGCTGTACTCTTGAATAGTTAATTACTGATAGCATTCCCCTAAACCATGCATTGTTGCTTGGAAGAAATATTTTGGCTAAATCCGTGTAATCTGCTTTGTTTTTTGGCTTGATAAACTAAGTTGTAGAACACTTCTCTTTAAACTGAGCCATGTCTTCATACTATCCCACTTTGCTGATCCTTGGCTGCTGCAGATATCAGACAATTCCAGGTGTGTGAATAATATCTCATCCCACTAGCTTGTACAAAACAACAGAAGGAACCAGGGTGCATGTAGAAGAGGAGCATGTAACTGACACAATTGTTTACTATGTACCTTACATAGGTAGCGGTGTGCAGAAAAATGCATCTCAAGGATCATGATATGAACAAGCCTTTGCGTTATACCACTTAAAAGGCCCGGTGTACTGCTGTATACATTCTGAATTTGTAGCATGGAGAGCCTCTTGTTAAAGGCATCAGCAGAACATGGCACAACAACAAGAAATTAATAGACAGTTGAATGCCCCGCAGCAACAGGCTAATGCAACTCAGCCAGAATCTAAGGCTTTTGGTTGCCCCACTGGTGAGCACTGAGGCTCTGGTCACTGGTTTAGCCAAAGAAAAAATGAAAGACCAAACAGACCTTAATGCCCAATTCCAGCCAGAATTATCATAAGCTTATCATAAAAGGTACATGCCTTTACATTGTAAAAATGATAGCCTTTTACTCATCATTTTCTTGTACTTTTTATGCCCCCCTATTCCTGCTGTTTGCACTCTTACTGTGTATGAGACTGGGCACAACAATTTTCTCCTCCGTTTAGTGATAGAAGAAGTACAGGTGCTTATTTAAAAAATATAGTTTTAGTATGTATCAACTTATGAAGAGGGAGCAACACTTACTCCAACTTGGGACTTTTATTTATCTACTGGTATCTTACGCTACCCCTTGTGGACTCCCAATACCCAGCAGTGCTAATGATGAGTGTAGTACACCAAATCTTGGGATGTTTTTGAAGATCTCTTAGAAATTTATTTTGGATTCCTGCTTTTTACACTTATCAGCTGAGACACAAGTTGACGGTTTCTTGACCACTCAACAAGGCGAGTAAAAGCCCTTAAACAGACTTTGGCATTTGGACTACTACTCTGCAAGATCTACATTTAACCCAGTGTTTTTCAACAACTAACTTTGTGCACTTAGAGCCCTTCCACATTGGCGGACTCCACCAAGTGGATCCACCTGCTCAGCGAGGGATCTGTTCGCTGGTCCCCGCTGAGCAAGCGGATGATAGGTCATGTTCACTCTGCTTGTGCAGAGCGGACACAAACACAGCTCGCTGTTCTCTATGGGGTGGTTGGATGTAAACGAATTGCCTGTCATTTTACATCTGTCATCCGCTAGATGGATAGGAAATGGATACCCATTCACCTATTTTTAGCGCATCGGAATTAGATTGGATGCAGGCAGATGTAAATGGACACGTCAGTTTACATCGGCCTCCCCAAAGAGAACAATGCATGGTCTGAACAGGTCCACCTGAGAAATGGACAGATGTACCTGATCATTCTGCCTGTGTGAAAGGGCAGTATGAACTATTTTATAAACACAAGCTTCATTACCCGAATAAGCCAAATGGTAGATATGTAGCTATGATTAAACCTTTTCTGGTCTTCCATACAAAGGACTATGAACCCAGATAAGTTTATACAGCAGAGGAAATTGGCTTTTGTGAAAATGTGCCCACCACTAAACAAGAGGGGCTCTTGACCACTCAAGTCTCAACCGTGGTTTTAAAATAGTACTTAGGATAGCAGCTGTTTGCAAGGATAGTATAAATGGCACCAAGCCGTGCAATTGCTGGCTATCACTAACAGCCAGGATCCAGCGCTAGGTCTAGGGCAGGCATGTCCAAAATCCGGCCCGCGGGCCATTTACGGCCCGGGGGTCGGTTTAATGCGGCCCTCCAACAGCCCTCCCTGCTCTGTGTAATGTGGCCCTCCCACGGCCCTCCCTTCTATGGCAGACCGTCTTCTGCTTGAGAGCAGAGGGCAGTGCGCATGCCTGACTGTAGCGCGTTCTCCCTGGTCTGTGTAAATGCGGCTGTCGCACGGCCCTCCCTTCTGTGGCAGACAGTCTTCTGCTTGAGAGCAGTGCGCATGCGTGACTGCGCCGCGCTGGGAGCGACAGAGGGCGCTGACGTCAGGGCCGGGCTTCCAGCGTGAGGTGTGTTTCTCTTCCCCTCCCGGCTGCCGAGCAGAGACTTCAGCTCCAGCTACCTTTTTCACCCTTCACATTAGTGCAGGTAAGTTTTTTTTTAATGTATTTTCAATACATTGTGAAAACTCAGCTGTCAGTTGATCTTAATGTTATGAAATGAAAAGTATGTCGTTTGCAATTAACTTGGCATAAAATTATTTATTTGCATTTAATTGTAATGGTTCAAAGAATGTTCGGAAAAATGTTCGGCCCTCCACCATGTTCACTTAATCCAATCTGGCCCTCTTTGAAAAAAGTTTGGACACCCCTGGTCTAGGAGATACAGAGGAGTCACACTATTGTGATATCATTTTAATCAAAAGACTTTCTCTATTTTTTCTACTCCCTCAAAAAGGAGATGGGATATTGTGAAACTCAAAATTAAGAGTTGACAGAGAAGGAAACAGATATGTGTATACAACACCACAGTCAAAGAGGAGTGTGTAATGTAATATATATTATATCAGGCACTGATGTTGGATGAGAAGGCCTGGCTCATAGTCTCTGCTCCAATTCATCCCAAAGGTGTTCTATCGAGTTGAGGGCAGGACTCCGTGCAGGCCAGTCAAGTTCACCCTCCACCTCAAACTCACGCATCCATGTCTTTAACCACTTGCCTACTGGTCACTTTTACCCCCTTCCTTAAGGCCAATTTTCATCTTTCAGCACTGTCGCACTTTGAATGACTATTGCGCAGTCATGCAATATTATACCCATATGAAATTTTTATCATTTTTTCCCCACAAATAGAGCTTTCTTTTGGTATTTACTTGCCGATGGGTGTTTTACTTTTTGCGCTATAAACAAAAAAGAGCAAAAAATTAGAAAAAAAAAAGTTTCTTTGTTTCTATTATAAAAGTTTGCAAACAGGTAATTTTTCTCCTTCACTGATGTGCGTTGATCAGGCTACACTGATAGGCAGCACTGATGGGCACTGATTGGCATGGATAGGCAGCACGGATAAGCAGCACTGATGAGCTGGCACTGATGATGGGTACTGATAGTCGGCACTAACTGGCGCAACTGCTGGGAACTGACTGGCGGCACTGATGGGAACAGGTGGGTGGGCACTGCTGGGCACAGGTAGGTGGCACTGTTGGGTACTTGTGGTGGAACTGGTGGGTGGCATTGCTGAGCACCAATCATCAGGGCACTGATTATCAGTGCCCTGATGATCGGTGTCGATCCCTGCTCTGACAACTGCCGGTTCTCGGCAGCACTTTCCTCATGCTGTGACAGTGTGAGGAAAGTGCAGCCGAGAACCGGCAATTGCATTTCCCGGTGATCAGCGTGTCATTGGACACGGCGGATCACGAGGTAAAAGGCTGCTGTGATTGGCCTTTTACCACATCACGTGATTAGCTGTGTCCTTAGGACACAACAATCATGGAGATCACCGGGGGCGTGCAGGAGGGCGCATTCTGGGAGGACATTGTATGACGCCCTCCCAGAACTGGCCGGCCGCAGTGCAGCCGTCATTTAGCTATCTGCGGTGGGCAATTAGTTAAGGACCTTGCTTTGTGCACTGGTGCACAGTCATGTTGGAACAGGAAGGGGCCATCCCCAAACTGTTTCCACTAAGTTGAGAGCATGAAATTGTCCAAAATGTCTTGGTATGCTGATGTCTTAAAGTGTTACTAAATCCACAACAGTAAAATCGGTTGGTATATGCAGTAAACCATGCTTGTTATACTCACTGAGGAATCTAAGGGGTTAATCCTCTGCATTGTGTAAAAAAGCTGTTTGATCCTTTCTTCTCTGTTCCTCCCCTTTTTCAAGCAACCACCACTTATCTCCAGACATGAACATGCTCAGTTTGCTGTATATTGCTAGAGAGGTTTTTTTTTTTTTCTTGGGAGAGTGCATGTGACCAGCACAGGGCCAATCAGCACTGTCCAGACAGAGGTCAGGGAATTTCTATCCTCCTAGAGCAGAAAGAAAACTCCCGCTACAAGCTTTAGCTAGTGCTGGGCTGGACACAAATAGAAGCCACAAGACTGTTCCAACTGCTGATGAGAAATGGTATTTAGTTTATATTTACTAAAATAATTGCATTTCCATGTTCTGTGTACTGTGGGAGACCAGATACAGTGAATGCAGGGTCCTGGTTTAGTAACACCTTAAGAGTTCCCTTCACTGGAAGTAAGGGGACAAGCCCAACCCCACACCATAATCCCCCCTCCACCAAACTTTACACTTGGCACAATGCAGTCAGGCAAGTATCGTTCTCCTGGCAACCACCAATCCCGGACTCATCCATTGGACTGCCAGACAGATGAGCGTTATTCGTCACTCCAGAGAACATGACTCCACTGCTCTAGAGTGCAGTGGTAGCGTGCTTTACACTACTGCATCCGATGCTTTGCATTTTACTTGGTGATATAAGGCTTGGATGTAGCTGCTTGGTCATGGAAACTCATTCCATGAAGCTCTCTACGTACTGGTGTTGTGCTAATCTGAAAGCCACACAAAGTTATACACCTGTGGCCATGGAGGCGAATGGAACACCTGAACTCAATGATTTAGAGGGGTGTCCCAATACTTTTTGGCATATAGTGTGTAAGTGTGTATAATCTATATATTATATATATATATATATATATATATATATATATATATATATATACACACACACACATACACGCACACACATACATACACAGTGCTCAGCATAAATGAGAGCACCCCAACAGATTTGTCACAAAATGTTTACTTTCCTTTCAGCATCAACATTTTCTATGGTACACTATACTACAAAATACTCACACAAACGTGGGCCATTAATTGCAAACAAGATTTGTTAATTTGCACACACAAAAAATAATTTTACCTAATTCATTAAAGACCATGTTGCAAAAATGAATACACTCCAATGAAAGTCTTAGGAGCAAAGCAAAATTTTAGACAAATTCCTAATTAAAAAGAATTCAACTACAAGTGAGTCTAATTATTCATGAAACAGGTGTCCTGGAAACAGTTGATTATAAAAGGGTGTTGCTTAATAAAGGAAATCCCTTCCCATTTAATGCTGTCAGCAATGGCACCAGATGGAAAAAAATGTCACAAGGACTGAGAAAGAAAATATTTTCTTTACACAAGAAAGGTGAAGGCTACAAGAAGATCAATAAAGCTTTACTTATCAGTCAAAATACTGTAGCAAAAGTGATACACAAATTTAACAAAGATGGAACTGTAACCATCTCCCAGAGACGTCCAGAACTTCCTCAGAAGACACCTCTACAGGAGCATCATCTGATGCGAAGGGTTGAAGTAAATCGCCATGCAAGTTCACAGCAGAAAGCCAAAATGGGATGATTGTTTCCCATGACACAATACTGCGTACACTTGGTGTCATCCATGAAGGAAGCCTCTCCTAAAGCCCATGCACAAAAAAAGCCCGCCTAGAATTTGCTAGGGCCCATGCTGGAAAAGAAGACGACTACTGGGACTCTGTGCTCTGGAGTTATGAGACCAAGATAAATGTTTTTGGATCTGATGGCTTCAAAACTGTATGGCGTCGCAAAGGTGAGGAGTACAAAGAAAAATGCATGGTGCCTACAGTGAAACATGGTGGTGGCAGTGTCCTCCTGCGGACTGCATGGCTGCTGCTGGTGTCAGGGAGCTGCAATTCATTGAAGGTATCATGAATTCACAGATGTACTGCTCTATATTGAAAGAGAAGATGCTACCATCACTCCATGCCCTTGGTCGTCTTGCACTTTTCCAACATGATTATTATTAATATTAAACAGGATTTATAAAGCGCAAAAAGTTTGCGCAGCACTTTACAAAATGAAGGTAGACATTACAGCTACAATACAATTTGGTACAAGAGGAAACAGAGGGCCCTGCTCGTTAGAGCTTACAATCTAGGAGATGATCCAAAACACACATCTAAGGCCACTGTTGCATTTCTAAAGAAGAACAGGGTGAAAGTGATTCAGTGGCCAAGTATGCTTCCTGATCTGGACCCAATCGAACACCTATGGGGAATTCTGAAGGGACAAGCTGAGCATCACTCTCCATCCAGCATCCAGGCTCTAAAAGAGGTCGTTCTTGAAGAATGGAAAAAGATAGATGGTGCAATATGTCGCCAACTTGTTCATTCCATGCCTAGAAGACTTGGTGCTGTCCTTACAAATCATGGAGGTCATACATAGTTACATAGTTAGTCTGGCTGAAAAAGGATAAAAGTCTATCCAGTTCAACCATAGAAAAAAAAAAGTTATAATCCTATATCCACAGTTGATCCAGAGGAAGGCAAAAAAACCCAGCAAAGCATGATCCAAGGTGCTCCTGCTGGGAAAACATTCCTTCCTGATCCCCCGAAAGGCAATTGGATATTCCCTGGATCAACTTTACATATAAATGTTAGTATCCATTTATATTCTGTGTATCTAAGAATTAATCCAGGCCTTTTTTTGAAGCAATCCACTAGATAGAACCAGCTCTTGAGGGAGTCTATTCCACATTTTCACAGCTCTCACTGTGAAGAAACCTTTCCGTGTTTGAAGATTAAATTTCTTTTCCTCCAGACGTAAAAGAGTGCCCCTTTGTCCTTTGTGATGACCTCAGGGTAATTAGCTCTACAACCGAGTTCACTATATGAACCACTGATGTATTTATACATGTTGATCATATCCCCCCTTAATCTCCTCTTCTCAAGAGAGAATTCAGTTCCTCGAATCTTTCCTCATAGCTGAGCTCCTCATATCAGTTTGGTTGCCCTTCTCTGTACTTTCTACAGTTCCCCAATGTTCTCTTTGTGAATTGGTACCCAAAACTGAACTGCATATTCCAGATGAGGTATTACTAATGATTTGTACAGGGGTAATATGATATCTCTCTCTCTCTGGAGTCCATACCTCTTTTAATACAAGAGAGGATTTTGCTCACTTTAGAAACCGCAAAGACTGCAAAGACTGAAATTGGATTTTTAATCCCAGACCTTATATTGTTTATAAATATAATAAAAAGTAATATACTGGATGTAGTAGGGGTGTACCCATTTATGCTGATCACTATATATAAATACTATATATAAATATTAAAATTATCTTTCACTATTTTCTACAATTATACAGTCAGAAAAAGAGAAGCAGTTTAAATATCCATAAACTAAAACAACATTAAATTGACTAACTCTTGCAGATGGTACATCTCGGTACTAGAAGGTTCCTGCCACTTAGGCCTGCATTCTTATTCAATGACATTACAAATAAAAAAAAACACACAACAAGAAAGAGCAGGGAAAGTTAAGGTTGCTGAATAAGTAAAAAGGAGAGCATGAGTTCTCACAGTCAATTGGCCATAGGAAGACACAGCCAGTTTGTTTTTGGTGGTGGTTGTAAAGGAAACATACTTTATGTTTTAATAAAGGCTATTTTGGAGGAACTGGGGGCTAGAGACATATTGAATGTTAAAGAAATCTATGTGTGCCTGTGGGTATGCAGTGGTTTGACCTTTGATTCCCACTTATAAGGTCCTATACTATGTGTAGTGTAAAAGACATACATACACCCCCCACTTCTGACATATAGGTTTTACTGAAGAAATATTTCTTCACAAAATTCACAAGTTTATCAAACTACATTTTAAGTGCTACAATCAAGTGCCCACGCTACTTAAGAGTAAAATATATATTTTTTGCAAAGTAATATGATTTCAAGCTGTTATTTGATAGTAGAGCAGATATGAATAACAAAGTATATATTTTATTACAGGACAAGCTGGTATTGGGTTTATTATCAAAAGTGGCAGGCTATCTTCACTTCAAAGAATATTGTGAAAAACCTGTTTGGCCCTCAAAAACACAAGGAAAACCAATTACATACAGAGAAGAGAAGGTCAACCAAAGATTAGTTGAACTGCATTTATTTCCTCTTGAGAAGAGAAGATTAAAGGGGGATATGATCAACATGTATACATACATAAGTGGTCCATATAGTGAACATGGTCTAGAGTTGTTCACTTTAAGTTCATCATAGAGGATAAGGGAGCACTCTATGTCTGGAGGAAAAGAGATTTCATTTTCAAAGACAGAAAGACTTCTTCTCAGTAAGAGCTTTAAAAATGTGGAATAGACTCCTTCAAGAGTTGGGTCTGGCCAGCTCAGTAGATTGTTTTAAGGCCTGGATTCTTCCCTAAATGCACATACTATAACTGAATACTAATATTATAGCTAATATAGGTGTATAGGTAAAGTTGGGATATCAAATTGCCTCTTGGGGGATCAGACATTTTTTTCTGCTGCTGGAGCAAACTGGATCATGCTTTATTGGGGCTTATTTG